TGCTAAATAAAACACAACGGGAACGTTTGTGCTTTTCGAAACTTTTTTTGGAACGTCATTGAACAGCGCTGACGACCCGGTGAGTAGCATATTTTAAAAAAAGAACGTTTAAGGTTGTTTTAAGGACATTATCGGACATGCACTATGAAAGCCATTCTGAAGCAGCCAGGGGGGGATTCTGCATTAGCCAAATAGCAGAGACAGGACCAATTGTCAAAATTTTGGTGTCGTTCATTCGATTTCATCCTGGACACTACAGAAAATGGGCTAAAAGTGTTAAAAACCGGAATTTTCCTTTAACATTTGAACATCATCCTGACATGAAGCTTTCCTTGCAAAACTTCAACAGTATCTCTGAAAAGGATTTAGTGTAGGTTTAAGCAATAAAAATCTATCCACTAACAGTTCCTAACGGTATTGTTAATGATAGAGGTGTTGCTAATGAGACTTTGGCTTAAAAAAAGTGTTTTCAACAGTTTTTCTGTTATTGGCTGAGACCTCAGACTGTTTTTTTACAGTAACTCTCAAAATTTGGTATCAAAGACGTTTAAAAGGACCAAAATCACATTTTCTAAAACACCAACTGCAATTACAAAAAGTTAATTTATCTTGTTTGTATTAGCCTCAAGAATATTCTCAATACTCACTAGGGTGTTTCTTTTGCATTAAATAAATCCTAGAAATAATTAAAGTATGTCTGGAACTTGCAGAAACCCTGTAGGATTCTGTTTTATCTGTTCAATTCATTGAAAAGAATTTCTTATATAAACTACAAACTGAAGCTTTGTTTTTCTTTTTTCTCTCCACACAGGCTCTGAGACGGATGAAGGTTTAAGGGCTGGTTTCCAGGGAGGTGTGAAAAGTTGAGCTGATAAAATTTTTTTTTTTAATTGTGCCCTCTGATTTTTTTTAATTTTATTTACCCTTTAAATTCTGTACATATGTCTGCACAATATTTACATATGTTCTAAATAAAATGGAGCAATAAATGTTTCTGTTTGCTCATTAAACCAGAGATGGATATCGAGTTCAGGTTTCATATTTACAACTATAACTGACACTTCGGTCAGTATTTTAGAAACAGTTTAGCCTTCTAACAGAATAAAGGTAGAAGAGACAAGACTATTAAACGCATTTATTTAAACGTGTGGTAACAGGGTGAGGAACTAATGTGCATTAATCTATTTTGTATCATCCCAACCTTATTTTTTTTAAAGGTAAATCTTATTTTATGTGATGGAATTGCACTAAATCATTTTAGTTGGTGAAGATGGAAAATGTATAGAAATATCGTTTATTTTCTCGGAAAGGGGTAATTCCAGTGTTTAAGTGGCAAAGCAAAAAAAAGGAAATGGATGCACCCAGATGCAAGCATGGATAAACTAACAAAAAAGTTTGAGACTAAAAGATCTCAATGAAAATTTAAACAGACTTTAAAACAAAGCAAATGCACGCAATTACCAAAATTAAATTCTTAGGTAAAAATACAGTGACTAAAAATCCACAAAAAGTACTCCTGATTGAGCTTAAGAAGTGAACTGATCATTTAAGTTTGGAAAAACTACGATAATGTGGGTTTCAGACATTTAGTTTTGTGCCATAATGGGTATAAAATTAACATAATTGTAGTTGTTCTGCAAATAGGTTCCTACATGAGGTTTGCATTATTTTTCAACTGTCCCCTTTTTTCTCCCACCAGTATAGCTGGTGGCAAAAAAAAAGGACAGTTGGTCATTGGATCATATTAGGACAGAGCTGAGCTGACCTTCCTGGTAGCTTTGCCTAACCTCTTCAGCTGCAACAAGAGGATTTATCATCATCAGTGAAAAAGGTCTTCTGTGGCACCTGCTGCACTCCAAAAGATCAACAGAAGCTCTGAGTTTTCCTGCTGTGACTCCAATCCAGTTAACTGTCAATATGAACACCCAGATAATCTAGGAGTCCAATATTTTAGCACCAGATCTCTGCACTTGGGCTAAATTTTATTAACCTATGTTTAGAGGCTTAAACTATTTTATTATCCCTACAATGCTGTCAAGAAACAAATTTGTAAAACACTTAAAGTATGTTTTTTTTTTTTAAATGAGGTTTTCAAATGGATTCAGCTTTTCAGGGTTCTTCCTGTATAGAATACCAGCCTTCAAAATAAGAGCTGTTGCAAATTTAGGGTGGCTTGAAATTAACAGTGCTGAGCTCTAGTCTGTGTTGCTGAGAAGAAGATGAGGAAATAACTTCGTTATTTAATATATGAAGCTGATCAAATATTTTTTTCTTCACCACTGGGTTCCTGGCAGAGAATTGGGAAAGACATACAGCCTATTTGAATAATCAGAATCAGCTGCTAGTATATGCTCACAGATTAATTACATAGACATTTAAAAACCACAAAAAAAAGGAAAATGAAATAAAGATAAAGCTGATTAAAATGATATTTTTTGAGGGATTTAGGGTAGAAGCAAGCCATTTCTTGAAAACCACTCAATCCACAATTGCATACAAAAGTTTACGATAATTGCACGTTTTTTGTTCATGTTTTTAAAAATATTTTTTAATCTATATATTATATTAATATATATTTTAATTGAAGTGTTCCCTGGTAAAAAATATTTTATCTTATTATTTTGCTCTTCACAGATTAAATCTGGATTCTGTCTGAACCAATCCCCAGGGTTATTATTACAGCCTATAAATAAACATTTAGGTAAAAGATAACTAAAAAAATCCCAAAATATGCACGGGTGCATCATAACTATTTTCTGTCTATTCTCATATATGATATTGGTTAATTAATTAAGGCTATTGCAGCAACTTCAGGAAAAAAACAAAAAGCCAATATTAGGCTGAGTTCAGGCCGTTACTTGTCTGATGCGCTCATTGAAAAAAGAAATCCGCTGAGATCAATATGGTGCTGATGTGAACTTTATTTATAAATATACATATATATATTCATAAAAGTATCTTGTCAAACAGGCAAAAGAACATCAAAGCATCTTTTCATTTATGGCTCCTAGAAAGGCTTGCAAAATATGTGGAATTGAAATAGGCCTAACTTCAGAGAATTGAAAAAAGACTTCAAAGCGTAATAATGATTATGGAAGCCCATTTCTGCCACTCTGATGGAAAAACAAAACTTAGCTATCTCATAATTATGTCTAAGATATCCCAAAATAATATCTCATAATTTTTCCAAAAAGTAAAAAAAAAAAAATTC